ACAGAATGACACATATGATTAAAGTTAAATTCCAAATTCTACTGGCACTGGAGCGAATGAAAGTTCATTTTTCATTCCTTTTTATTCTTTCTTCTCTTTTTAGCTAATTCATCTTATTTCATTTAATGCCAATGTTTTTTCCTTTCTATTTGGCCACTTTGGTTGGAGGGCGGGGAGAGACAACAATTCAGTTTAGGCATGTGGCCTTTTGGTAATAAGATTAAAGCTTTAGGCAAATCCCAGATCCTCAAACGCGAAGAATGCAGGCACCCCGTGCCTGTATTCAACCCGCCAAAGGTAGGGGTCAACGTACTATGACCCCAACCACTTCTTTGCCTCTCCAGCAGGAAGCTGCTGGCACAGTCCAAAAGGCGTCTGCGCCCTGGTGCCGTGTGTACTTACATGTGATACTGTGACGCTCAACTGCTTAATGCATAATGTTTACATAAGGCTGTATACTTCAAAAGCACTCAATAACCTTAATATAAGAGGTATCATATTGCAATGTTGATTATGAAGGAACCATGATACAAACTTTACTATGATGAAACCATGTCTTCACCTAACAATTCAAAATGACAAAGTTTCTATCCATTATCTTCTTTCAGACTTTCTTGTGAAAAATAAATATATCTGTCTCACTCTTGGCTGACTGAAGCACACAATGATTAATTAGAGCAGGGGTAATTCTGTGTAGTTCAGTATGAACGTGCCAGTTCTCTGGCTGTTTCCTCTCCACCATCCCTCTGGCTGGCCAAAATTTATTCCAGAATACTGGGCACTCGCGCTGTTACCAGGAGCAGCAGGTATAGGTATGGCCTAACCTGTCTGAGATAGATTGTTGGTTTTAAAGATAATGACCTTAAACATAGAGGCTGTCCCAGTTGTGCTGGCACAGAGCTGGATTGCTCTTAGCGGTAAGACTGCAGTTAGTCAGGCAGATACACTGGCCACAGAACACAAACTGGGAAGCTCGGGCAGCCCTCGTGGCTTTGAGGGAGCAGGAAGGTGAGCAGTTACATTTTAGGGACAGCAAAACCTCCTTTTCCCACAACTAACCCCTCTTGTAGACAGCAAAAGCAAAGAACTGCTACAGAGTGAAAGGGATCTACTACTCAGTGAATACGCATTTCAATGTCATTTTGGAAAAAGCATTTTCAAACATGCAAAACCAAATGTCTTTTTAAAAAGTTTAAATATTATAAAATATGTAATTTGTTAAGTATCAGTTTTCATAAGAGCATTTTAATATATGGTGCTGTATTTACTTTTGTAATTTTGGATTATGTGAACAGACTCACATAATGAAGACATAGTAAAATCTTACTGTATTTGTAACTGGAACTCAGAATAATGGGTGTTCTTATTTATTTTCAAAAATAAGTTCCAAAAAGAATATTTGCCCCTACCTAGATAACCACACTCCAGCATTCGTGCAAAGGAGGATCTATTAAGATGCCAGCATTAGCTGGCCAACAGAAGCAGAAACGGTTGACGGGCTAATGGAAAGTGAGCAAGCTGCAGCAGTTGTGCTGTGCTGACACTGAATTGGCTTGATTTGAGCAATTTCTTTGATGTACAAACATAAAGCTGTAGTAATTCATAATTAATCTCTAAATTCATCATTTAGAAAATACTTGTTTCTTCTCCCCTTCCATCCCAGCTTCAAATCATCAAAGGCCCTTATTTGCAGACAGAACTAAAGGCAAAATTTTTATTAATCGTGATTTTACAAGTGCCTGAACATTTGTATTATGTATAACAAATGATGACAGCACACAACCTGGCTTTAAACGAACCTCTGTAAATTCCCTTCTGTCTCCCTCCCTCCTCACCCCAGCAAGGACCAGCAGCACAGGCAGGACGCTGCGGTACCGCAGCGAGGAAGCAGTGGGAAAAGCGGGAAGTCTTTATCTCAGTATTGCTGCCAAAGGCAGCAGCTCCTCAGCCCGGGGCCGGCGAGGCTGTGAATTACCACGCTTGTAGTTTAGGGCTGTCTGTGCACACGCACACACCCCTGTGCGCCGGAGCAGCTGCAGAGAGTAGCTGAGGCCACGAAGGAAATTCATACCAATTTGGGTTAGCCCACATTTTGTCATGTTACCAAAAATATTCTGTAAATAAATATATTAATGGACCACTTACTTGTAGATAGCAATTACTTAAACCGGCATTCAGCTTTTAATGCCCAGGCATGCGTTTCTAAAGGGGAGTGTTCTCGCTGTGTATTGCTATAGATCCAGATTTTAAATTGAGATTGGTCACTATTGATTCTGTTAAAGTTTATTATGATAGCAGTCTGCATTACACAGGATTCATAAAATTGCTGAAATACATCGTCCATTAACCTGCCTGCGTTTAGCCAAGATCACCTTGTGTCCAGCTAACACCAACTTTATTGGCATAATGCCATTTCAAAGGCAATTTACAAACAAGGGGATGCTCTGTAAACCAGAGCTGCCCCAGAGGCAGATGCAGCGGGGCTGCGGGTGCTGCACCCCAACCTCGGCAGTGCCCCCTCAGCCTGCGAACACCCATCCCCAGCTGAGCTTCCTGCAGCCCATACACTGCATTAAAATGGGGTTTCAGTGTCACTCCACTTTTAGGAGGTGCTGAGGACACAGGCACAGCAGAAGTCCTGCTCCTCTCAGGAACTCTCATCGGGGAAAAAACCACAAAAGCCGACGGCTCAAAGAGGTGATGTCCCTCTTGGACTACCAGCACCGTAGCCAGCGGGGGCTGCTCAGCCCACTGCCTCACATGAGAAGGAGCATGGTGAAGGCTGAATACTCTCCTCCTGAGATTGTTCCACTGTTTAAAAGACAACATGAACAAGGAGGGTGAGAACTGTAGCCGAATGTGAAAATGTGAAAAAAACAACCGCTCAACATTGCCTGTGTTTGCTGGGCTGTCCCACCAGGCAGGAATGGGATCACGGGCCTGTGCAGCTTTCTGAAAGCAGCACACGCTGACCTGTGCTGGACACGGAACCGCAGAGAACAAGGAAAGTTACTTTCCTGCTCTTTATAGCTTACTTTTAGATATGAAAGACAATTAATTCTTCCCTTAGTCTTGTCTTGTCTGAGTAAACAATCCCATCTCCTTCTGCCTCTGAATGACATGATCAACAGAGACCTGGGAGATATGACATGAAAGCAATTTCCTCATTTTCTTGCCTTTTGTGCTCAGTTGCAGTGCCTGGAGCTAGGCAAAGTCTACTCTGAGGCTTTGTACACTGCACGGAGGGAAAAAAAGAAAATCACATGCCACGTCAGCCCTAATCCCCAAACGTCTGTGTGCGGGGTGGGCAAAGGCCGTACCCTGAACCCCAGCGCTGCAGGGTGCGACTCTTGCCGGCTCTGAGTCCCTGGTGGGAAACGGCTCCACGGTCGCTCTCCCACATTCCATACTGCAGCAGTCAAAAACAACTACGTAACAGTTTTTGGGTCAGACCCCCCTATGCAGGAAGGTGTGATTTGGAATATTCCTGAGGAGATGATAGGAGGTAGACTTAAATTAAAAACAAAATTGAAATCTGCACTTTTATATGAACTATTCAATCATAACTGACCAAAGCCATTGTTTGTTCTGGCTTTAACAGGTTTCTCCAACAGAAAGTGTTAGTTACAAGTGTGCTCGTTAGGTTGAGCTAACACATAAAAAGCTCTGTGTCTTGGTTTGTCAATATTTATCAGGAGCTACTCAGTAAGGACTTAACAACAGATTCAGTGTCTGAAGTTTATCACTTTCCTAAATCTCATTTGCCAGTACTCTGACATTTAAAACTATTCTGGGAAGGGCAAATTAGAAATCAATGATGTGCTCATCAACCCAGTATCAATGCAGCCCTAAGAAATGTAGCTCAGCCATTGATAAAAAAACAAAAGCTAAAATTGCCTTTATGGAGACTAAAGAAAAATGCAAAAAATGCTTCCACTTCAAAGACTGAAAGATTTAGTTACATGAAGTCCTTCTAAAATGCATCAAAGAGCGCTCTTCAAAATCTGCAATTCACAGGAGCAACACCAGAGTTCAGTCATTCAGTCAGAAATGCTGCAGTACCCCAAGGACTGTTTCAAGTCCTTTTTAAAAATAAGATTTAGAAATAAGGTCCAACTGTCATTCAGAGAATCCTGATATAATAGCAACTGCAATGAATAAATAGTCAAAGGTAGAATTTAATTTCAGGTGCTGCAGTGTTTTACTCACACATGAGCTCACAGTTCCTCATGCTCCTGTTTCTTTGTATTATTCAATTTTTATTGTTTAATTAATGCTAGTGTGCTTAATACAGTTATTAGAATGTTTGCAATAAAAATAATATGGAATAAACCAAGTTTGTACTTTGAAAGACTATTCTGATAACTAGTTTGATCACCTGTAAAACAGAAGCCAGCATTTTTTCTTGAACTGACACCTGTTTACGCTAAAAGATTTCTTTTAGAAATCTTTCTGCTGTATTACATAGCATAGTTTGAAGCTACACTTTGAAAGTTAGCAAAAGTCCGTTAACCAGAAAAAAAATCTAGTGATAAAAATAAATCAAATTTTGGACGCTAGACATACAGATTTAGATAGTAGTGTACGTAGTCATAGGAAATATATTCCCCATAGATCTATTTAAAGGGGGTTTTGTTGTTGTTTTTAAGTGACAGCATTTAATACAGGGGGCGTGTGTAAACATTAGTATGTGTATATAAACATGAGTTTGTAAGTAAATAAGCATTGTGCCTATGACCCATGAATGAAAGAGTGAACAGGTGATCACTTAATTCTACTTGACTCAAACCAGCTTTCAGTCACATATTTTGAGAAAGGAATGTTTCAGCTGCAAAGTTCAGAATTTGGAACATACAATAATTAGGAAAATGTTTAATACCAACCCACCCTCTTTATTATGTAATTTCTTCAAGTATTTTTAATAGTGCAAAATATTGTTTTGCATTAGTACAGTAACTATGGGAATTCACAGTCAAAAAAATGTTAAAAGATTTCCAAAGTCAAACAAAAAAAATTTTAATACTGTATTTTTAGCAAGAACATTTTTAACAAAGAATGTGTACTTTAACTTAATATGGTACAACAGAGAAACCATACTTAAAAGTTTCCATTATCTAACACTCTACTGCATATTCATTTTTTCATCTTAAAAGACCAAAAGCCAAGCTGAACTGAGCATAAAAAAAAAGCATCAATTATAATCCTCGTATTACGTCAGCTATTAGGGTTTAGCTCACACTTTTGAATTGGTCATCTAATGAAAGGACAATTTTTACATCATTCTTTTAAAAAATGTACACACATTTCTTTTTAAAACGTAATATATATCGAGTATCTGCTTCAGTAAACAAAGCTTAATTTATAAACACAATCGAAACAGCTCCATGTTGAACAGTTTCAGTGATAAACTGGACTTGTATGATGTACAGCCAGTGAGGACCTTTGTGGCTTAAAATCATTGTGCCATTGCTATACAGTAATAGCTACCGCCTTATAAAAAAAAAAAAAAGGTCTTTTTTTGGGGGGGAAGGGGAAATAATTCCTGTATGTGCTTAAAAATACTAAAACTCCTTTCTATCTCCGGGGACCTAAAAATGATCTGCTGCAACAGGCTTGGTTTGGTATGGTAAGCTTGTAAAAAGTCTCAATATTTCTTAATGACAATACGGCAGTTTTCGATGCAGCAACAGTAAATTGCTTGAAATTGTCCTTCAAGTTTCATGCTACAAATCCTGTTCTTCACACAGTACTGAAGGCATCAAAGGTTGGAAGGGACGTTTTTCATGAACTATATAGTCTTCAAATAGTGATCATTATACATTTTTCAGCAATAGATGTTTCCTTCAGTACATAATGGTAGGTTTGATGTATGTTCTGTTTTCTGGAGGAAAAAAAAAAAGAAGAAAAAAGGTCAATTACACATCTTACAATTAACTGAAATGGGTGGGTTTCCTTATTTGTTTGTGGACTTTTTTTTCCTCAAACTACATTATCAGATCTACGAGTGATGCAACCTATCCATCACGTGAGTACACTGTACATTGGAAAAAGAGTCCTCTGATGACAAAGCCCTGCAAAGCCCTGGAGAGGAGACTCTTACGCAGAGAAATGCAGTGACCACCTTCGAACCCGTTGGTACAGGTGTGGGCACTCAGCTGGGCTAAAAAACCACTAGCCTTATTTCCAATGGTGCTTGCCAGCCAGCACCTGCTGAGGAGAGACTATAAATATTTTTATTTGCATTTTCTTCCTTTATGACATTTGCTTTTTAATTGAACACTCATTTTCCTTCTTTTTTCAGAAGGCAGCCTGTGTTGTATTGCATGCTTGTGTAAGATAGACCAAGTAACGTAGCATCAGCTTTACAACGTACCATTATTATGTGCACAAAACCTTCTAGGGAACAGTGTGTTAAAACTGCATTGCATTAAAAAATGTAATAGAAGTAAATCAATATCTGTCCTTTGGAAAACAGTTCTTTCATTCAGAAACTGCCACATTTCTTTTAAATTTATTTTTCTTTATTTAGGGAAACAAGTAGAAAGCCACTTATTTCCTTCATAAAAATATTCCTTGCTATAGTACCTATCAACTGTGATTTTTCACATTAAGCCCAGAGAAAAAATAAGTATTAAAATGCCTACAGAAACTAAAGCTAACAAGAATCCATATTCTTGTTCATTATACAATGAATCATGAATCCACCCAGTTAAACCTGCAAGTACTGATCTTGAAGATGATAGCAAAATGATAATATTGAGAAGCATTTTGTATAATGTTGACATCTACCCCATTACTGTTTTACATATGCCAATACTGAACACTCATAAGGAAAGAACAAGTATTGACCTGCTAACTGACACTGATCCTTGGAGCAATCTCAAAGTTTGCCACATTTCAATTTCAAAATGCATTTCAGCTATAATATGAGTGATTTATCATTTAGCAGTAGCTGTCAAAGTAACCTCCTAGATAAAACAAAAACATCTGGAACCATAAACAGAGGAGAGCAGTAGCTGAATTTTAATCCAAATCCGACATGTTCACTTCATTAGGAACAGGAAACAGCTAATTAGTAATTGAATGTTTCATGGTTTTAAGGAGGCTCAGACTCTCCAAACAGAGATGATTTAATATGTATTTTGGATGTAAACAAGCATAAAAATCGGAAGACCCAGTGACATAACATCTCTGGAGGAACATTTGAGAGCATGGGAACTTCCGAAGAAGTGACTAACATTAGTTCCAGGCTTTTGGCTCATTGACATTGTCTTAAACTTCGCGGGGCAAATATTAAAGCCTGGGGACGGGGTAAGCAGAAATGCAAATATTGAACACTGTGGGGTTTGTTTGGTATTGTTTTGTTTGAGTTTTTTTCTTTTTCTCCTTCTGATTATTAGGAAGTTGCACATTACTTCTTCCCATTGCAGGCTGTAGGTGATCTAGCCTATATTAAAGTTGTACTTCTAAATAAGGTAGCCCCTGACACAAGCTGCAGGTTTGGCTGCCCTCGAAAGTTGTATGAATACTCTTTATAGGCAGTCCAAAAGGCTGAAGTTCCGCCATAGTGTGCTTCTCGCGAGCCAGTAACACACCAGCTCTGCGTGCTGCAGAAGCAGCCAAAGATCCTGGGCATCCACCGCCCGCGCGCCCGCTCCCTTTGAAGGGCCAGGCTCAGCAGCCAGGTCTGCACAGGGATCTTCTTGCCCAACCACCTCTAGAGGCGGTGGGTGGATTTACAGGTGTGCTTGGTGAATTAGTCCATATAAAACCAATGAAAGTCAGCAGAAATTAGATCCATTACTCGCTATTTAAAGGCCATTGGGCATCAGCTGCATCTTCTGATATGTTCGATGCTTGATATTTGTTCTAAGACAGAGACCACATATGCACACACATTTACGGTGCTGCATTTGGTGACAAGGACTCTCTGTCTGCAAGAGGAGGGGAGGAATCCAGTCGTGCATTCAAGGCAAGAGTTGACTTATCAAAAATGGGATCATTAATATTATTTTTTTAATACTTGATATTTTTATTGTATTTTAAAAATCGTTTTCAAACTAAGGTAAGAGGTGGTCATTGAAGGTACTGCAGGCTGATGGACTGACTATTTAAACTTTGAAACGGGTTTCAATTTTGCCTTCCTATTCCCTTCATTTCTCAAGGGAAGATCAATGGAGGTATTTGGAATACCTGTAAGAGATAAAGTAAATGACAAAGCTCAAGCATAGTACAGCCACACAGGAGATATTATGGATCGGTAAACAAAGTGCACGGTTAAATATTTCCTTTTTTATAAAGCTCTCAATTATTCTCCAGTAATTAAAATACTTTTTTGTTGCTGTGCAATAAACTTAACTCCACGGCATTAACAACGTCATACAGCAACCACCTATGAGGAATTAAAGAATTAGGAGCATCTGTGCTACCACTTATACATGAAAGACAATGCGATGTTGTCAAATTCATCTTTTTGAAGAATATTCACCATCCCCTCAGTGTAGCTGACTGCAAGCTACACTCCATTTTACAGCATTATATAGCAAAGATTTGAATAAATCTGTGTGCAATAAATGTATTCTTTTATTAGGTTTATCCCTTAATCAAATATTCATTTATGTGGGCTTCATTCTATTAAAAAATGAAATTATACAAAGGTGAGCAAAAGCGTAGATTTACAGTAGTTTAAAGCCTAATCTCATTCTCTAGGGGTAATATTGACAATATAAAAACTGTATAAATGATATTCCCTAACACTAAAATATGCTTATGAGCCCCCTGTGCATGTTATACTGCTTTACAACCTACAGTGAAATGCATGACTGGCTTAATAAGCAAGACATTTAGAAAGGATTTTTTTTTTTCCCCTTCACAATGTACAAGAAAAGTAAAGATCTCACAGTTTCTCAGTGAGACAGAGCCTACGTTAATAATTGTAATTTTCCCTCAGGATGGTGTTGTCTTCCCTGAGTTGTTAGTCCGGGATGTATGTTCATCTCTTGCACTCTCTTTGAGCAACAATATCATTGTTCATCTTTTTCTTTCAAGGTTTTAATGTGTGTATAAAGGACGAATCCAAAAGCAATAATTATAATCTGCATATTTATTCACATTTTTCTTTTTTTTTTTCTTTTTTTCTCAGCCTATTCAGCAGCTCTGAATTTTCTGAATCCTTTGTCAGGCTTTGTTTGCAATATCTTTGTTTTAAGTCAGTAATTTAGCTGTATTTCCATATAACTACTTTAAAACAAGATTTCCACGTGTAGTCTCACAACTTGCATAAAGAAACGTGCCCTGGTAATGCTGCTGCGCAAATCCAGTTGAGGAAGGGGAGCAATGCGACGCAGCTGCTGGCTGCGATTAACCAACACAGCTACAGTTTGGGATTGTTCAGGTAACTTTAGCACACTGTAAACTGGAGGAGAAAATCACTGGAGGAAGGAAATTTGGGATCTGCTACATAATGAGAAAACAAGGATAAATTTGTTCTATCAGTAACTATAAATTATTCATACAATTAAAAAAAACCCCCAACCCAGCACTACATGTTGCAGAGAACATGGGTAGCAGAGATGAAATAATAAACTGAAAATCCCACTCTGCCAGTTTAGATGAAGGAAGAGTTGGGCGAGCTTCTAAAACAAAGGTCAGGTAGAGCTGAGCCGCGGCTGTGTTCCTGCAGGCAGAAGAGCGGCAGGAGGGTTGAGGGCAGCCAGGTGCCAGACCCGGGCGCTCTCAGAGGCTTTGCACAACTCCTGCTTGAGGGGTTGAATTAAAGTCTTATACAGTACCGCAAGTATGCGGACAGGAGCTGATCTCTCCATCCTTCCTAGGCTACGTAAACAGAGTCAGCATTTCAGTTAGATCAGAGCCAAGCTTGGCTTTGGATGCAGCGACACATGGAAAATACAATGACATAACAATAAATCTAACTTACAAATCTGGGGCTAATTAGTCTGAACCAGTCTCTTATTTTGAATTTAAATAAAAAAATAAAAATCAGAGAGCAGTTCACCTT